GTACAGAAGTATCTTCTGCTATCAATCTGCGTACCTGCATATAGTTAATGTACTTTTTTTCCATTTATTTTTTGGTACCAGTGCCACAAGCTAAATAGCCCGGCATTCTTTCCTTTTCTTATTGTCCTTGTCTTCTTCTCTGCTTTGTGAAATTAGATTCATTCCTCTTTTTTCCTTACCCTCAATTTATTCTCCCAACATATCCTTGATTACACCAAAAAATCCATTTAATAGGCCTAAACAAAGTGTTGCATTTTCCTGAACTGTTCCTAATACAAAGCGACCACAACTGCAACTAATATACACTGGTGATCCATGGAGTGTCTCCATAGCCCAAGTCCTTTGCGGTATCATTTTTTCAGTCTTCTCAAATGCCCTATGGGATTGCTGTGACTTTGACAACATTTTTACCTTTTCTAGCCCTCACTTTCCTCAACTATAAAATACAACCATGAATATCAAGCTCAAACTAGAAATCTGGTTTGCATTTCTCCAAACTTGTGATTTTTCTACCAGAATGGCTGGACTCCCTCCATGGGTTCCAAATGAAAAGCCACTGAGCTTTCAGCTGGGGTCCCTGGCTTCAGATCACTGCTTACAGGACTCACTGATGGCTGCAAAGGAAGCACAGTGCTCAAAAGAAACAGGCACAGAGGGTTAGAATCCCAGAGAAAGGGGTAGACAGAGAGAGACACAGCCCTGGAGAAGTGTGAGCCATTTCATGGAACCAAGGTTTCCTTTCCACACTTCCACTCAAGTAGTCTTCTAGGAAATACCACACTTTGTGGAAAAACCTGGAAAGGGTGAAAAATAAAGATGAACAGAAGGTGTGGCGCCTGGGAAGTAGCTGGTTGCTAGTCTCAACTGTCTTCCATGCTGGGTTCTAATCTGAACTTCCTAGAAAACTGCGATCTCCAGAGAAGGAGCATCCACAAATGCCCATATGTAAGGGCCTTGCGTAAGGATCTACTTCCCCCTAGAGTTTCAGCGCTGCTGTGATAAAATCAATTCATTTTTTTCTCTTACTAAATTACAGTGTGGATAATAATTTGTAGGACGCAAGGGAAAGCCCAGCCTGGGAGTAGGGGGTCAGGTTCAGAAGCGATTTTAAAGTGTCACCTGCTGCCCACCCTCCAACTGCACTTTACTAGGAAGTGGGGTTCAATGGGGCTTTGGGAGACAGCTGTCTTCCTTATTACTTGCACAAGGAGAAAATCAGAGTTGCGAGTCTTCTGCCAAGAGAGAAAGTGGCAGCTGAAGAGAAGGTGTGTGCCAGGAGGTGGGCCACGCTGTAACTTGGGGTCCCCGGGGTTTCATGTCATCTTGGAAGAACCAGTGCCCTTAGCCTGGACTAGGGGTTTATGCAAAGCAAATTAAACAGCCCCAAGTACTCAATATCCTATACTCACTTGGTGGTTGAGAAGAATCCCTTTTAAAATCTATGTTCCTAGAAGAATTGAGAAACCCAAATCATTAGCTTTCTAAAGGAACAACAGACCAAGACTGGGAATCATTTCAACCTAAGGGATGGGAACAGAGAACCTTGTAATCCCCAGTCTAGATGCAGGAGAGACTTCTGTAGCTAAAATGAGACAAATTAGAAAAAACAAAGTAGTCAGGAGGGAGAAACGTACACACACACATACACACAGATACCGTAATACTCTAGAAGTGGCCAAGAGCTGGGGAAACTGGAAAACTAGATCCTCACCCAGCCCGGGGATATTCAGGAGCCCATGTCACTCATTTCATTATTAATACAAATCAGAGTTTCTTAGCATGCTGATGACGGATCAATTAATGATCTGTATAAATCCCACACCTCTTAAGAAACATACAATGCATATGTCATTTGGTTTGCCTGGTGATGTGCTTCTTTCTTTTGGTGCTGAGGATTGAGCCCAGGGCCTCCCACAGGCTGGGCAAGGGCGAAACCCCAGCCCACACACCCTCCTGAAGAAAACAGCTAAGTGAGCTATGCACGGCTCCTCACCTGCGTTCCATTCACCACCCACCTCTCTCCACTCACAGTGGACACCTTCCCCTCAGCTCGCACAGATGCATCTAGTTCACAGCAGCACTGTGTGTGTCACTCGGCCATTCAGTCCAGTAAACACTCCCTCTATGTGTTTCTGGTGAGGCCGCAATGAGGTCACCAGAGTACGATGGGAAATGGAGGACCAGACAGACAAAGACTCCTCATACAGCTGGTCTCCTCTGTCCCAAGACTCCCCAAGAGCCCTTGGCATGGCTGTGTGGGGGGGGCCTGGCTCATACTGCAGAGAGAAGCCGCAGACGACTCCAGAGGGACTCACCTGCTCCAGGCCCTCAGGGGACCTCCTGCTTTCTCCTGCTGGGTCCTGATAGGGCAAAATAAAGAGCTCCGCAGCAGTGGGCAGGCCTGGCAGCACGGCCACCAGGATGTGCTGGCTCGGAACCCCTGTAGCCTGAGGAGGAGACAGAGGTTCAGGTGAGTCCTGCAGGAGGAAGCAACGAGAAGGGACCACGTGTTCAGTGAGGAGGGAGGGGGGCACAGGGAGTATTGGGGACTCCGGGTAGGAAGGCCAGGAAAGGCAGCTCTACACCTGCAGGCTCGGGGTCAGACAGGCTGAGACGGTGCTGGAAGACTTCACCCTGGTGGCCACTTTCTCTCTGTGCCTACCTTCCTTAAATGAGACGCAGGGATAACAGCAACGCCTGCCTTTTTACTGAGCACTTTTGAGACTAAAATGAGTTGCACAGCAGCACGTACACTGGGAATGGAATGCCAGCTGTGTTTCCCTACTGAGGACTCCAGTAGGTGGAACATGCCAGGAAGAAGACCCTCTCACTGACCTCTACCATCCAGGCTTGCTGACCTGGCTTCCCCCTCCCATACCCGACCTGGGTCCCTCTTCTCAGCCACCAGCACGTGCTGGTCACCTACTGGACAGGCCTGCTCCAAGTTCCAACCTGAGGACTAGCCCCACTTCATGAGGCATCGGAGACTTTCCCTGGGCCACACTGACTTTCTCAGCCCTCCAGAGCTTCCTCTTTGTCTTTTCACCTGCTGTGTCTCGAACTTACTCCTCCGAGTACTTTCTCTACATGATTCTCAGTCAATAATTATAATCCCATTCTCCCCCTTTGTGGTGGGTCAGGACACCACTTCGTTGTTTTTGCTGGACTTCCAACAAACATACCAGGAAACTCAGTTCTCAATTTCACCCTTGAAAATCTTCATTCTGAATTTTTGGCAAAGGAAGCAAGCCTTTCACAGATATCCTAGCTGGAAGCCTACACCTGACGCTGTGCTTTCTTTCTGGTCATTTGTGAGGCCCTGGAAAGTTGATGTCCACACCAATGATCTTACTAGATCTTTCCAGCGTAAACATCCACTCTTGGTGCCCACAGCCTGAGCACTGGAGGTTCACAAGCATCTCCTATCTCCAGGAGGCAGCTGCCACCTCCCTGAACCCAGATGAGGGTGGTGCATCTTTCTCCCTCTCCAAGAAAGGTGAGAGCTGCAGACAGCCAATCAAAGCCACTTAGGAAGAGCCCTGTGAGGTGCATGAAGCTTGGAGAAACCGTAGAGCCAAGAATGGTGACACCTGGCGACACCCCTGTTCTCCTGACACCAACACCAGCCCTTGTACAACTCCCATTTTATGTCCCTACTGGATTTTAAACTCACAGATGGAGTTCAAAGCATCCTCATTATACACCCAAATATTTCCTGAATGACATTCGACCTAAGATGTTACTGTGACTTATAAACAACAGAAGCCAATTTGATAAATGCATTGCAGCAAATTTTATAGCAGATTCTATCCCAAAATGAATAGGCATCAACCTCCAAACAAGCTGCCTCTAAGATGTACCTCTTGTGAGGTGTACAGGGGTCCACTTGGCAATGTGGCTCTGTGGGACTTAAAAATGTGGCCAAGTGTCATCAGGGACTCGGGACAGGATGAGCTGCTGGAGCCCAGAGGCTGGGTCCGCTGTCACTTGGGATTGAGTCTCCTCCGGGGATCTGTGGAACAGCCATTTAGGATTAAACACTCCCCCATCCTCTGCTCCTCACACTGCCCTCGCCTCTGCTGAGGGAGCTGAGCCAACCAATTATTCTGCATTTAGCTGATCAGAGTAGGTGCTAGGCTAGAGATACTGATGAGCAGTAATGTTCGGCCCATGGACAGCTGGTGGGGAGGTTGGGGCCCAGGGCATCTGCCCCCTACATGGTGAGGACAGAAGGAAGTCAACCCCAGAGACCATTCCTTGCTGAGTTAATGTTTGGCTGATCAAGCACCTGGGGGAGCTGGGCAGCTGCCTGGGAGGCCGTTAGGGACGTGGATCCTCAGAACGGAAGGAGATAGGCAGGGAGTTCATTATGGTGCTCGTGCTCTCTCTCTCTCTCTCTCTCTCTCTCTCTTGGATAGATGGGGAGACATACCAGTCAGCCCAGGGAGGGCTCCAAGGCCAGAGGCCTACTACAGTTAGTCTTGTAGTCTAGGAGCTGCACCCCCTGGTGGCCATAAAGATCAACTATTTATAATGTCCTACCTGGCTGCTGAGAGCCATAAAAGCAGAAGAGAGCAGTTATTCAGTAGCACCTGAAAATACCCTCGCCATCCCAACCTTCCCCCCATCACTTTTCTCCTTGTAAAAATGCAAAGGATGGGAACAGATTGGAATGGGTGGAAGATCGCAAAATCGGGATGCTGAGCTCCATGGTCTGATTCCTGAGCCTGACTTGACAAGTTGGCTGGTGCCTCGTAGCTGGGTCTCCTCTCAGCTGAGGGTACAAGCATAGTGGCAACACCGTAGTGTTTCTCTGTATTAGATGGGGGGTAAATAATGCACGCTCTGAGAGGAGGACCTGGAGCACTGCAGGGCCAAAATGATTATCAGCAGAGGCCGTGGTGTGAGGAGGAGGAGGATCTGAGTGCCTCCACTCCATCCTCATTTTGCTGAAGTGGCGCCATGCGTTGGGAGGAGGGAGAATGTATAGAAAACTGATTTGGCTCTGGGGCTAGGCAGATCCTGTAGGGAGTCAGAGCATCTCTGAAGTCCCGGGTTTTGCTCTCGGACATGGCCGCCTGGTGAGCAGACAGCCTCTCCGCTCACTCACAGAGCTGGAATGGAGAAGAGAGAGGACCGAGCCGGAAAAGGCACCTTCTCCAGTTATCAGTGGCATCTGCACGGAGCGGGGACACCCGCCTCGGTGCTCGCCCTGACACCTTCGAGGCATAGGAGGCTACGTTGCATCGTAAAAACCCAGATTTCAGACCCAGGTGCTTGAATTTCTCAGCTTCATCCGTGACCTGTTCTCTGTGAGAGTGTGGGGGAAATCCCTCTCTGAACCCGAAGTCCCTTCCACACTTCGAGGAGGGTAACAGCTCCTGCTTGGGGCTGGCACAGGGACAGAATGTCCCCAAAAGAACCAGGCCGGAGACCTCACGCCCCAATACTCTGCTCTTCTCTGTCCTGAGTAACCGTGGGGGGCAGGCGATGCCCCCAGTGTCCTTGTCCTTTTTCTCTGAGCAGAACAAGGCTTCAGAGGCAGCAAGGACCATGCAGTGGTTACGTCTGCCACCCCACCCAGCCTGGGTCTGCAGGGTCAGGGCTCAGCCTGGAGGACGCAGCCTGATGATCAGACCTCCCGGTGTCCCCAGCGTCTCAGGGCTCCTCCCCAGGAGGCTCTTCCAGCAAAGAGGACACGTGTCCATGCCCGAGGAGAAAGCCAGGCACTCACCTCCACCAGGGACTTTCGGATGACCCGGCTGATGTCCCGCCTCCATTCGGGGATGTCAGGGTTATACTCATCCAGGTTTGGAGAAAAGGAGAGGCGGAGAGAGCGGAATTCCTCTGGGAACACAACAGGATGTGGGTTACTCCGAGCAGCACTGTCAAGGAGGAGGGCCCTTTCCATACCCACCCAGGAGAGAGGCCTTTCTAAAAGAGAGACCCTCCTGTCCCGGTTACCTCTCTCTCCTCCTCATTATCTAAACTGAAGCCCTGGGCTCTGGTGCCCATGCCTTGCTCTGCAGACACCGAGTTATCCCAGCTCTAGATCCTGCACACCTACAGGGCAACTGATCTGAGGCCCCCAGTGCATGGCAGGTTTATGGTCCCAGGGCCTCTGCACTTCTTCCTTTGCTTTTAATGCTCACCCACACCCACAGACTATGCATAGAAATATTCAGATTCTAAAATTTGGAAACAGCCCAACTGCATATGAACTGGAGGCTGGATAAAAAAGATGTGCTTTTTTTTTTTTAATATAATAGAGTACTACTCAGCCACAAAGAACAAGAAACTAGAACTATTTATAGCTAAGTAGATGCACATTGAGGTCATAGTCAAGTGCAACTGATAAGTCACACATGTGTAAATGCCCAATAGTTCCCCAAAAGTAAAAGTAAAAATAGGGATCAAAATGTGTAATTGATATTGCGTAATAGGAAGAAAAGGTCTAAAGGAGTAGGGAAAGTGGGAGGAATAGGGGAAAGGGAAAAAGGGAAAGGAAAAAAATGAGAAAGGGAAAAACATGGAAACAAAGTCTTTGCAAACAGGGAAGGGTGGAGGGGGTGAAGGGAGGGCAGGGGGATGGGAGAAGTAGAACCGAGTACGTCATGTGGAGGTACAAGGTCCCAATGATGAATGTAACTGTACTGTGCACCTATAACGTACCAACTCAATAAAGATTAAAGAGCATTTAGATTCTAGTGATTTTTCTTGGGTTGAGTGTACTTTCCAGTGTACACATTTTCATAGCACTGTTCTGCTCTACAATACTGTTATTATCACTATAGTTTGTCTGATAATAATTACTGCATGAGTACTTACTGATGTCGAACCTATATTTACTACTGTAGCTATTCCATCTTTATCTTTTACTGGTGTGAAAGTTTGATTTAATGGAGGTTCAAGCTCCCATGGCAGGGATTCTGTCATTGTTTTTCTGTAGGCCAGGACTCAGTCTGGATGCCCAGGACGAGGGAGGGGAATGGAACGGCAAAGCCTTTATAAGCAGAGCCATCTGCGGGAGAAAGAGGGAGGGACCCAGGGGGCCTGAGACCCTGGGGCACCCCGCACCCAGGATGCTGAGCCCAGCCCCCTGTGGCAGGCAGTTTCATCCTGGGACCCCGAGGCGAGGCCTTCATCTGGGCCAGGAGCAGCGATGACTTTCGGAGCACAGCAGGGGTCCTGGTCAGCTATGGTGCTGTGGCCGGAAGTCTCTGGGGACATTTTCATGGCCTCCGCCTGCCCTAGTCCATGTGGCACAGACAGTGTCACTGTCCCCTCAAATAGCTCAGGGGCCACACTACATCCAGAGTGAAATCCGGACTCTTCCCAGCCTTCACGGCTTCAGGTGACCCAGTGCAGAGCTCTCCTGCCGCCCCTCCCTGCTCCCCCAACACTGGCTTCCTCCTCACCCTCATCCTCCCTGGAGAGGCCTCTCTAACCTCCGCCTCAGGTTCCTCCCCAGCCACCATCCCTGGAGCCCTGTCCTATTTTCCTTCTTCATTGTTAGTGTTACTTAATTTTTTCTTCTGTATTTCTCCCAAAGGGGAATGTAAGCTCCAGGAGGATAAGGACCCTGTGTCCCTGCCTTCAGGGCGGTGCCTAGTACACAACAGGTCTTCGATTACTCTCCATGATCATTTAACTCGTGGATGATCATTAGTTAAATAAATGATTAAGTTATGTGAAGGCTTGCCTTTATTCATGCACTTGCTTTTTAATAAACAATTCTTCTTTCAAGGCTGTGCACATATTTCCAAAGGGGCTGTGAGACTACCAATGAGAGAGACACTTAGGAAGAGCCAAAGGCCCCGTGTGCAACTTCTCATAGAGCTAAGGAGCCAGCAGACATGCACTCCGAAGGTTCTTACATTAGAAGCAGTGCATTCACAGCAGGCCCCACCTCTGTTTTACAAGTACTGACCATCTCTGTGAATATCACGGATCCTGCTCTGGGGAGCAGATACGATGCACGTCCTTTAGCAGCGTGGGACAGGAACGACAGCACCCTGGGCATCCACAGAGCCCTTCCTCTCTTCTGGGCATAAAAGTTGGCATCTCTCATTTTCCCACCACCTCTTACCAAACCGTGCTGACTTCATCCACGAGGGCAGATGCCGTTTCTGTCAGTAAAGGGACACAGGGACGCAGCTCCCTTCCTCCTGACCACTTCCAGGAGGGAGAGCTGAGAAGGGCTCTGAGATGGTTCAACAGAGGGGATGCTTGTGGGAGCCTTGGGAAGGGGACACTAACAGTGCATCATTTTTGCAGCTGCTGAAGGAGATGAATTATATACGGCAAGCTGCACTCTGGAGCAAACTGAGGGAATCAATGCGAACTAAATTCGCTTTCTTCCCCTCTGTGGAGTTTTTGGATCCGATGGCCCGCAGGATCCGCCTTTGGTCTGACGGTCATGGCCTGCCTGTTCCCACGCTTTGGACTTGTGTCCTCCCACCACAGACCTGTGTCTTTTCTCACTGCATCTACTCTACACAAATGGCAGCTGTGAATTTCTTCCTTTCTGTCTGGATGCAACTCCTTCCTTTGGAATGTAATCCGCTTCCAGAAAGATGGGGCTCAGGCTTCCCAGGTTTCGCATCTCAGTGGGAGGGTGAGAGATCAACTTCCAGGGATGTTGCTTAGTTACTGCAAGGGCCTCTTCACACTGCCAACCCCACCTACTCCCCAGCGTCCTGCCGTGCTTAGCAGAGCCCGGCATCTAAATGTTTCCCTGCCTTTCACATCAGGTGAGTCTCATTCCACTTGTTTAACTACATCTGGTGTGATTTTTTCATTCAAAAGACTCACTTGGCACCGAAAGTTCCAAATTTCCTATATCACATACTTGGCAACTCCTGAATGACAATGAATTCAGGAGAGCGGATGGCTGGGGAGTTTAGTTAGAAGAGAGCACACAACACTTGCCCTGCTAAAACTTTAAGGAAGAGATGGGCAATGACCAATTTTGTGACCCTATTCTTTGAAAAAGAGACTGTAGAGAAACAAGGGGCAGCAAGGGAGAAGGTGATGAACAGAAACTTCCCCTCAGATTCAGACTTCTAAGCTCTGTTCATTCCATTTATCTCAGGCTTTCTAACCTGTAAACAGAGACAATCTGTGAAATGAAGGAGTGGAAGAGCCCAGAGGGCCTCTGGAGTTCAGATTTTCTCTTGATTCTAAGGAAGAGATCTCTTGCACACTTTAGCAAGTCAGCGTCCATGAGAGCGACCTGTGACATCCAGGAGGGAGGACGAGGAAAAAGAGCATCGTAGTGGAGAAGACATGGAAGCCGGTTAACAAGGCCATTCTCTACCATGGAGTCCAACTCCATGACTAGCAAGTCGGTTGTGTGATTCATCTCTGTCCAAAAATTACCTGTCGCACATAGGCTAGCGCTGCCATGAAGACCAGACGCATTGACAGCATTCAGAAAAGAGAAGCAGAAGGGTGAATGAGCTGCTTCAGAAGAAAGAAAAACTAGGAAATCCAACAACACCGCAGTCACGTGTCCAGTAGTCCCACAGGGCTTTGGGTCTCAAAGTTGCTTACAAATCACTGCTTGGTTTTGAAGGTCACATCGGCAAGGTGAGAAATGGAAAATAAAATCTGATTCCACACAAGCAAATCTACTTCTAAATGATCTCAGCAGATTCAACGAAGTGTGGCAGTTGGGCAGTGGATAACTTCGGGAATAAAAGTGAATCTCTTTCCTCCTCCTTACAGTCTCTGCATAGCATTTATTTTCCCTATTAATCTCAAATTCTTGTTCGCCAAATTTTATTTTTCCAAACATATGTACCACTTCTATAGGAATAATACACATATACAATTTTACCACCTACTACCAATATGGTTCCCAGCCACCTGCATAGCTTGTATGGGAAAAAAAAAAAAAAAAAAAAACCCTAACAAAATGGGGTCAATCTGCATAAACCACTTTACTTTTCATTTTCAGGCAATGATCTTTCTTTTCTATGTGAGTACATTTTCATTCCATCTAATTCTCCAGCTGTATTCAATTTCCCCCACTGATCACAAAGTTGTTCCGCACAGGTGTGGGTTTAAACTAATGTTCAGCCTGTGACTAGGACAGACATTCGCTGTGACCCTTTCACAAAGAGCTTTTAGTCACACAGAGGTCCTGGGGTGTGTGTGCCTGTGCGCTTGTGAGTGAAATACACATTTATGCAAGAGATTTAAAAAGTATTTGGATAATAAAAGATTTTTCTTAAAGTTGAACTCTTCAAAGCAGCCCCAGAATTAGGCCTTTCTGTTCACACTGGTCTTTATGTATTCAAACACCACCCACATTCCAGTGAAATGAGTCAGCCCTGCTCCTATACAAAGGCGGTCTACCTCACCTGAGGTGAATGAGCAAACAGTCTACCAGCACCGACTTAAAGAAAGCAAGACAAACTCTTCCAGGGCCCTGACTTGTTTTGCTGGGGGTTTACGTTACTCTAAGGAGGAAGGCAGACCTATCTCACTCTGCCTCAAACGCTGTCCGGGTTCTCCAGCTCTGTGCTCAGATGGCCTCCCGGCACAGGCAGCAAGGCCGGGCACTCACCATACACGGCAATGGTCTTCGTGTCCTGCAGGATGGCGCTCCCAGCGGAGACTTGCACCGTGATGGTGTTCATTCCCTCCGAAGTGAACTTGAACGATACGCTTCCCTCCAAGGTAATCAGGGGCTAAGACGAACAAGACAGGGTTACAGGTAAAACAGCGACTGCCCTGAGCCACCGATGAGCTCACAATAAATCCACAGGGCTCTAGAGGAGGCACCAGATGGGAACTCTCTATGGCTCCCCACTGTCTAGAGTCCAGACTTAAGAGAAGCTGGCTCCTGCAGTCATGACCTCATGGAATTCTGAGCATTTCTTGGAATCTGACACCTTCCCCCCTGATGCCATCCTGATTCCTGGCTGGGCAGCTCAGCAGGTCTTGCTTGTTGGTGAGATACAAGCCTCTCTCTTCATAATCTACTCATGTGAAACAGGTCCACAATGCAAGGAACAGCACACATCAGATGAGAACACAGGGCTGCTATGAACCCAAATGTAACAGTAACCACTAAAATCTACGCACCACTGGGTGTTCCTCGGCAGGGTGTAGCATTTGCACAGAATTGCAACAAAACGCGGAAACCCTGGACACCATCACTGGACACTAGCGGCCAGTAGACAGGAGCAGCCTCGAGCAGTGGCCTCCTCTGAGAGGCACCACAGACACATTCCCGAGGCTAAGACCAGTGCTAACTGCACTGCGGATTGTGGCTTGAGGGAGCGGTGGCTAGAACGCAGTCAGAGGCCGGCATCCTGGAGGAAAACGTTATCTGCCAACTGACCTCCCTAGACTCGCCGCTCCCCACACGTTTTCCTTGTTAATTGGTTTTAAAATAAAATATCACTCGACTTTCTATATGGCAGAGGGAAAACAAAAGCCCAGCATAAGAAGTCTCTTTAATAGGGTCTGCTGAGAATTTGGTTTTATTTTAAACAGAGAAGAAAATCTAAAGGACAGCGGGTACAGAAGAAGCGTGTGGGGTGGTTCCCCTTCTAGCACGGGCTTTCAGGGTATAGCACCGACGTCTCCTCTTCCACGGGGAAGAACATACCCAAGCAGGCCCACTGCACGTGGAGTTTCAAAAAGAAACAAAGGGGCTTCTTCCCAGGCAGGCGCGCAGTGGGTTTGGGTGCCCCGGAGCTCTCCAGCCCGGGTTGTGTGAGAGCAACACCTCCAGTTAGAGCTGTGCTTCGGTTCTAGAGCAAAAACGCGCTTCTAGGAAACGGGGCGCAGCGCAGGAGAGAGCAAAGCTACCCAGACGAAGCAAGGCCTGGAGACCGGCTTCTCAGGCCCCAGCACTGGGTTTCCTGCCTCTGGGCTTCAGTCCCGCTGCCCAGCCGACAGCTCCTCTTCTGAGCACAGAGTGAGCCCCACACGGAGGCAGCCCCGCAGCCCGTGTGCAGCAGCAGAGGACGGGTAACGCCTAACCCTCGGCAGGAAGGAGCTGCAGGAGACCGGTGCAAGCTTCACTTTCGCCTCCCCACTGCCGCTTCTCTCCTCCGCAGGCAGGAGGGCTGAGCACATGGAATGGCTGGGGAAAACGGGACATGAGAAAGTGCCCTAAAGACTTTGTTGGGGGGCGGCCTGGTTATGGACTCGGTTTGCTTTCTCCTGTCTAGTGCTCATTTGCCTCTTTTTCTTCCTGGTCACCACTCCCTCTCTTGTCTGATTTAATGCTTCCAACAATGAGGACTTTAGCACCTTCCTGTCCACGCAGGGCACCGTGGTCAGGGACCAGCCGGTAACACTCAGCGCCGGAAGTCCATTAAGGCTCCGGGTGCTCAGCCCATCCATTCTGTGCAGAGGGAAGGTGGAGATGTGGAGGATCCGGGGCACTGGCAGCCTCTGGCCCCGAAGCCAAGCTGCCTCCACCCTGTCCCGGAGGTTTTCCTCCTGCTTTGTCCCCGCAGCGACCTTGGGCTGCTGCCACCTGTGTGCCTGGCAGACTCACCTCCGTGTTGTTTCCGTACCACCACACGTAGGTGAGGGTGCCCACCTGGCTGGGCCACAGAACTGCGGTTGCGTTGACCTCTTTGTTCTTTGTGGTGACAAAGGGAAGGGAAAGGTGCACGTGCTCCAGGGGACCTGCAACACGAGAGAACGAGGTGCCGGGAGGGGTCAGGGCTCACTCGGCCCTGCACGCCCTACTCGGGAAGCCTCACCCCCGGGAAAGTCCTCCTCTCCGTGCCCTCTCGGTGACAAGTGTGACAACTGTGTCCTGCCACTTCCTGTCGCAGGCCTCTCCACCCCATCTGAACCTTACGTACAGATGTTTAAAACTTAAAGCCGTGCAAGGAACGGATGAAGTCCTTAACGGAACAGACTCAATGTCAGACTGTTCGGGGAGAGACAAACTTTCCAGGAGCTTCTGTCCTGGGTGACAAACCAGGACCACGGAGACTTTCTAGAGCCCGTGTGAGGTCGGAGTGGACAAATGCCCCTGACCAAGGAATTATCACCACAAATGATTACCCTGCACTGTTTAGCTCATGTTAGAGAGAGCTGCACACTCGTAGTGTGTGTGTGTGTGTGTGTGGGTGGGTGGGTGCACGCGCGCACGTGTGCAAATCCAGGCCCTTTGCTCACATTCCTTACTCCTGGCACCTGCCAGCTCAGGCCCCAGCTCAGCCCCTCCTCCCTGACTCTTTTACCAACTCCCAACCCCAGGTCAACCCATCAGTTAGAAGTGGAGGATCGCGTAAGCTGTGCTGCAGGGCCGAACTCCCTTCTGTCAGGGTCCTTTCTCTGTGTTCTCATCTATGAGAACAGTATTTTTTAAGTCAGAACACCAGGCCAATGTGTGTGCATCCCTATGGCAGTGATAGAAATGAAACCTGGCTACCAACCTACGCCCCCCCCCATCCACTTCCTGGTTCCTGAGTGCTGCAGACACTGGACGACGCTCTGGGAGCGGGGACACCTGGCTCTTGGTGGAGCTTAGAGCCTTCTGAGGGAAGGAGGCACTGGACACTGCAAGCAGGGTTGTGAGAGCGTGCGTGCTTCTGACAGAGTGGCTGGGGAAGGCCTCTCAGGAGAAGGGGCATCCCAGCAGCCAGCTGATGGAGGGCGACTGCACCAAGTGGATCTGCAATGCCCTGGTCAGGGCAGAGCCGGCGGGTGGAGAAGGAGCTGCCGTGCTGCACTGGCTGAAAGGCGAGATGCCTGAGCACCTGCAGAGAGCTGGAGGGGAGCAGCGGAGCGAAGAGAACCACAGCATTTTGCCCTCATGGGACCTGAAACTTGGCACATGTGTCTGTGTGCGCTTATGCTTTCCTGTACGTACATCGTCTGCACACCCGTCTGAACGTTAGCTTTCAGATCCCACGGCCTCCTTCCTATCGGCATAAAATGAATGGCTCCTGGGGCCCAGAAACTGCTCTACACAGAAGTTACACTCTGCCTCCAAAGGAGTCACCTGCCAGCCAGTGGCACTCAGCTGACCGCCTAACATTGCTCTAGCACACAGGGGCCTGCGATGCACAAAAGGGACAGCAGGTGGCGCTGCGCCACTGTGTGAGTCTTCGCAGAAAGGTGTTGGACAACCCGGGAAATTACTTGTATGAGTTGGGGTTCCCTTCCCTTCTCCTGAATAGCTTTCTACTGCTGCAAGAAACAGCCAATCTCTGTGAAACTAAACAGTGTGTGTGTGCGTGTGTGTGTGTGTGTGTGTGTGTGTGTGTGTGTGTGTACTACATACACTGACTGCTCTAGCCCAACTCTTGCATTTATATTCTGGAAACCCTGACCACTTAATTCAACGCTGCACATGAATGACACTGCTCTCTGTCTGAGGTGCTGCAGTAAAAGCTCCTAGAAGCAAAAGTGGCTCAGGCCACAAGGAGGAGATTCTAAACCAGGGCTCCTCAAACTTTACAAAAAAAGTACTACGCAGTTCAAAGCACATGACAGTGCACAGAACTCCTTTCTGCAGGTCTGAGATGGGGTCGCGAGCATCATGTTTTCATTATCTGGTGAGGGGACAGGCCACCCTGTGAGTGGTGCTTTATCAATCATGGTCTGACGTGTGCCCACCAATAGCACGGTGTGGGCACAGATGCAGAGCTGCAGCAACCCCTTCCTAAGGCGGGACAGGGAGACACCTGTGAACCATCTCTGTGTTAATAAAACGGATTGAGGAAGGACCAGCACGTCCACCTCCTCTTTTACCATCCCCCTTGCTGTAAATCTGCAGCACCCTCAGTGGTTTCTTCCGAAAGATGGCTGTGACAGGGCATCTGTCTGAGCAGAAATCTGCCTGCCCTCAAACCCTGTCCCATCCGGCTGACTGCAGGGCTGGACGCATTGCGTGTCTCATTAGCATGCAAAGCAACAGTGCACAGCAAAGAGTATCCCCACAGGATTTCCAACTCGTGGGCTACAACAGATTACCCAGCCTCTGGCAGGAGCCACCGGCCCCTCTCGGAGACACTGCAGCAGGAACGTGAGCTCCATTTGCTCCTGATCGCCTTTGCAAACCCATACCGAAAAGCCTCTGATTAGGAATCTGATCATGGTCCTCACTGGACGGTGGTGGGCACACGTGGGGGTGTGGCCGGGGAGGAGCCAAGGGGAGGACAGCCAGCTAAGAATGCAATCCCTTCACCCAAATGCACATGCCACCGTGCAAAGATGGGGACAGCACAGCCCACACAGGTGCTGCGTATTTTGCTCGATGGAATCTTGGGAGCAAGTTGTGTATCCATCTGCCCCAGTAAATGTCACTTCAGAGCTAGGCAGTGACCCTGCCAGGACCTGGGCTTAATCAGATCGCCTGGCACTGTCCAGGGTGCTGTTTTTTTTTTTGTTGCTTTTTCCACATTTCCATCCCTGTTCTCCTCCTCTGTGTGCTGGCACTTGAGCACCAGAAGTCACTCATGATGCCTTGTAGATGTCAGACACTTAAGAGTGACTCAGTGCTGTTCTTCACCTGAGGTCCTCCTAGTGCAAAAGCACCCTACATCCCCAGTCCTCATTCTCTCTGTCTGGAAGGGAGGACCTAAGCTGTCCATTATGGTACAGAGGTGGAGATAGACAGAGCATCTGCCTGCATGTGGAAGCACTCTGGATCCTTCAGGAGGGAGAGGCCAAGCAAGTGCCAGGATCCCCTGAGCCTGTAGGCATGAATGTGGGCTAAAAATGGCTTAATACAGGACCCTGCTTTAGTACAGTCAGTGTACAGTGCTGATTCTTGACTCCAGGGCCAGGCTTAGAAGGCTGTTCCATTACAGTAGGCATGTTCACCCCACCACCTCAGCCTGAAGGAGTTTAAAAGATGGAATCAGAATGCAGACTTGCCCTCATAGATCATCATCTTCCATTAAGGTTAGGGTCAAATATTTCACACAACCAACTAGGCTGATGAAAGGAAAACGTTACTTCTGAACAAAGCAACTCATTTCTCCTAGAAGTCATGGGCTTTGTGACCCCTCGTCTGTAGTAGAGCCAAACTCGGTGATGCCGTCCCTCCCAGGATTTGGTGGGCCAAGGAGGGAACTTGGCATGGGGGCCCTGTGGAACAGACCATGCGTGGGAACCAGGAGAACCAAGGGCGTGGACTTTGGAAAACTCAATGGGACACGCAGAACTTTCCCCCAGTATTTCCTCCTGAATTTTAAATCTGTACTTAACACACATGTGGAGCAGACTGGGTGCACAAGGAATGCGTGAGAGTGGAATATGGTTACAGGCAGCTGTCCAGAAAAACGCTCTGTAGAATCCGCTGGGGGGGGTGCCAAGCTATGGGATAGTCAGCCAGCCCTAGCAGAATCATAGTCACTTGTGTTGCTAGTTTTGTCTTCTACTAACACCTACTGTTTGTGGTATACTTTAAAGGTTTTCATATTATTCCCATGATATCGTCACTTTGGCTCCCCTACGTCAGTGCTGGCCAACCTACGGCACGCGTGCCATAACTGACTGTTATCACTGAAAGCTCTAAAAGGTTCGCCATCCCTTCCCTAAGTACTGATAAACAGGGGAACTGGGGCTCGCAGGCTGCAGTCAGAGGGACGGGAGGCTGTGCCCATGGCGCCGGGCAGCACGGCCTGGGTTCTGCCTTACAGCCTCAGGGTTCCTCTGCAGTCAGTGAGGACGTGAAGGGAGAGCAGATGCCATTGGGACTGGGCTCTTCCAACCCTGGCCGCTGTGGGCCCGACGCTGGCTCACTTAGAGACTGAGGGCAGGGCTTCCCGATCAGCCTGAGCTCCGAGTGAGGTGAGTGACCGACTCTGAGCTGGTCTGCAGAGTAGGGTTTCTGCCCTGTCCGCTTCCGGGGACACCGAGAACTGAGCTATCCATACTCAGAGCCATGTGGTGCAAGTGCGGCTGGTGCGCACAGTCCGATCTTAAGCAAGTGCAGCCCAAAGGGAGAGAGAGGTGGCAAACGGGCTCATGGCAACTTCGCGCATACCCGAAGGAGACGGCATCTGTTTCCTAGAAGCACCTCCACGATGAGCCTACGGGAGGCAAAGACCCAGCAGGATTAAAGCGGTTGGAGTGCACCATGCAGCTCCTCCGGGAATAGGTCTTGGCCATCACTAATGAGTCTTGGGGTCTCACTGGCCCACAGCGGCTTATAGAAGAAACGTCTAGTTGCTCCTGTCTGCTTCTATCTTGTTCTGCGGGCCAGGTTCAAGGGACGGGCACGGAGCAATGCTCCCCCTCCCTCACCCGCATGGAACGTGGAGTGCCAACAGGGTCATTCCGCCGAGAGAACCATTTTCACTTTAAAATCAACTATCTTTTTAGTAACTACCGCAAGCCCTCGGTCTGCTGGGCGAGCACTCGGCGTATTTATGGTGCACTATCCACCGCCTTCGCTCAGGAGGTGCCTGTGTCCCCTCTCCTTTACTGGCGCCCCTGGTCCGGAGAGCCTGGGCATTTCGCGGACCTGTTTCCCACATAGTGCATACTCTTCATTGTCGTCTACGCTCCTCCCCTCAAAACCACTCTCAAAACTCAAGTGATCCACAGATGGGAGCCCAGGAGAGACATTTTGTTGTTAAAAAGGAGAGAAAGGACAACTGTGGTGTTTCCTCTGCACAGGAAACACTGCGTTAGATTTTAAAACAGCACGAAATTCACGCTAGGTCAAAAGCCAACAGTAGGAATAACATACAAGTTACATGTAAGTACAGCATGGCGCTGGCAGACCCCAGACTGTTGTCCACCTGCACGGCCACTCGGAAGATGCCCACGTTCTGGTACACGTGCTTGATGCCGTCCTCCATGGAGCTCAGGTTGACGTAAGACACCGCGATACCATCGCCGAAGTCCACCTGGATGAGCGTGCGCTGGACGTCACCCTGCAAAACAGCGGGGGTCAGAGGGCCGCGGCTCGGGTGTGCACCGCGCAGCTCCTCCCTGCCACAGCCGGAAGCCTCTGTCTGCTCTCACAGAATCACTGTGGCTCTGCAGGCAGGCGGGGTTCGCCAGAGGGCCGCACGCTCTCCAAACCCTAAGGGCGTCAGCCAACCACAGTCTCAAGGCTGGGGAAGGAGCAGTATTTGCCTCCCAGTTTCCATTTGAGATTGAGCTCCTCAGAAGACTTCGTTAATCATTTTATCATCCACGTGACTAGAGGGTGCACCTACACCTGGCTTCGAATGCTCAGCCTACCTGATGCAGCCATGAACCACTCCCAGTGTCTTCCAGGGCCCTGCACTGTCCTCCTCATACCTGGTTTCTTTGTTTTGTTTTGTTTTGTTTTTGTTTTTCAGTAGCAGGGATCGAACTTGGGTCTTTGCGCTTGTAAGGCAGGCGGGGGAACCGCTAAGCTAAATCCCTGGCCTTATACCTGGTTTCTTAACTGTGCTGGAAGACAGCTCGTCTGAGTCCTGATAGGCACTGCACTCAGCCCTTTCATGACCTGAGAAATAGGTTGGCTGGGCGTGGTGACACACTCCTGTAAGCCCAGCACTATGGGAGGCCGAGGCAGGAGGAGCCCAAGTTTGAACTCAGCCTTGGCAAATTAGAGACTTAGCAAGACCCTGCCTCAAAAAGTTAAAAAGGGTGGGTGTTGGGGATGTAGCTCAGTGTACAAGCCCTAGGTTCGATCCCTAATACAATTATAATAATTTATAATTAACATAATAATATTAATAATAATAGTATAATCAAAACAATTATAATAATGGTTAATTCTTTTAAATTTCTGTATTTGGTAGTATCAAACGACCTGCATTTTATTTTTCATGGAATTTTAGTGTGGAGAAAAGAAAGGCAACCTTCACTCACTTTCCCCAGAAGGAAGCTGAAGTCTGGAGAGGTTCCATCGCCTGCCCCAGCGGGCTGTTCTGGACCATTTATTACAGACAGAACGTACCATTAAGGGGAAAGCACTGAAGGCCTCTCTGGGGCTTGAATCCCAGAGCCATTGACAAGCTACAAGAACAATGCGAGTACTTCAGTCTCTTTCGGTCTCATTCAGAGCTATGAAATGGGCGTAATAAAAACTTACCACCTGAATTCAAAGGGCTATCACAGAAACTTCCAGGTAACTAACCCTGTAACACGCTACAGAGAAACAAGCGTCTCTGAGAGCTCCTATATAAGAGATCCACAGTGTTCCTCTTAGATAGATTAGCATCACATAATGCTAAATTTTTCATTCCTAAACAGAAGACAAACCATGGGTTACAAAACCCCAGACCTATAAAAAAGAAATGGCCTTTGGGATGACAATTTAGATTTTCAAGGATCAAAATTACTTAGCTCTAACTGGCAGAAGCAAGCTTTCCTTTCACGCCGTCAGTTCATTCTTCATTCTTTAGCAAGATTTTTTTTTTAAACTACCCTTCTCATTTTCAGGCAAAAAAGATAAAAAAAAAAAATCTTTGAACTAGAAATGTATTTTCAATTAAGTAACATTTATATGGTACCATATTTTTTGAAAAGGCCAAATGTAAAATGCTGACATTTAAAAGATTAATTTACAGAAATAGGAAAACCAGTGCAGATCCTGTGAATCTATGTCCCAACTCCACTGATCTATGGTCAACAAGGCACTGTGTGGGAAACAGAAAAGCTAATTCTCAGAAAGAAGAACTATTGTGGACGGCTCTCAGTAAACACTCAGGAAAAGTTCTCCCCTGGGGTTGAAAAAGAAACTCCATTGAAAACTACAAAGAAACATCTGCAGGTTCAGATGTTGTACAATTGCTCAAATTCCCTTCACTAATAAATAAAAATGTCAACCGATCTGCTAAGGTGGCCTTGGACAGCCAGGTGGACCATCGACCTCTCGTCTTGTTTCTGGAGGGTGTGCACTTCCAGGTCTCCTGCCTTTCAGCAGATTTGCAGGAGACCAACACCAGGAACATGTTTGGGGCAGGGGCCCTCTTACTGAGACAAGGATCTGAGCAAATATCAGGGGCACAACGGGTCATTTATGGCCTAAGATGTACAGCAGATTCCACTGGAGGAAGCTGGGTAGGGATTGAGAGGCCTCAGGTAATTTGTGGGTTCAGAGCAGGCACAGGCAGGGGCCACTGTTTGCAAGGGGACTGAGGGAAAAAAGAGTCACATTTCCAGCCAGTTCTCCTTCAAGCCAGTGAAAAAGCAGTAACCCACATGATGGAGAAGAGTAAAATTTTAGCTGCCACTGCTCAAGTCTTTCTTGCTCTGCCCTTTTTCTCCAATATTCATTATTTTTCTTTTCCTGGCCTGTATTTAGAAGTCTTGTCAAGTACACAGAGCCACTCCCAAGTTCTGCCCATGTGGATGTCATGCTGGTCTCTTGGCTTCACAGAATACTTTACTTCTCCACTCTGATGACATTCGCTATGCATGGTGGAGTGGCAGAGGAATACGGTGGGGAAGAGGAGGGAGCCTCTTAATGTTTGGATGATGGCACCATGGCTTCCATTGCAGAGATAGGCTTGCAGGACACACACACACACACACACACACACACACACACACACAAGCACAGACAAGTAATAACCAAATTAACAAACTGGTCTGGGTTTTCAAGAATTTACAACTGCTAGTGAGGAAGATGCACTTGGAATAATCACACATTAAAAAAAAATCTCGGAGGGTGATAAGAAGGAGAGGCTCAGAGTGTCTGAAATTGGCACAGAAGGGCAAACTGGAAAACTGATCTAAATAGGAGCTTCACGTCCTGTTGGTTTAACTTAGAGACCCACTTCCGTCCCCGCCGAGTTCCTTTCATGGAAGTCACTTATTGCATCTTTTAGAGAACAAGATGGTTTCCAAGACCAACCATTGCTTTCTTCCCTTGCTTGACCTTATTCCTGACTCCCCTGTTTCCCTCCTGTCAGTATTTTCACTTAGATTTTCCAACTAAGGATGGATTGGCATGAATTTCATATGCCACACCTTCCACCTGCCCTCCGGTGAACAATGCTATGTCTAAGCTGAGAGGAAGACAGAGAACAGGAGAGACAAGTGAAGCCCCTGATCACTAGTTGGAGGATTCTCCTGTATTAGATTTACCTCAATCTAATAAATGAAAAACCATCATTTTTCCAACAGAATCCCGGCTGTAGATCTATCACCCTGCACTCACAGGTTATCGAACAGTCACAGAACCGAGAAGACTGGCTCTGCTGTAGCTCAGCATGGCACAAAGCCACACAGTGGCTCTGCATGGACGACACTGATTCTGCAACAAGGAAACACATTCATCAGATGGCCACAGCGAAGCCAAGGTGAACCCAAGCAGTGAAAGGTGTGTGAACCCATCAGCTCCTGTAACGGGGATTTGGAGAAGAGTAGGGAAAGAAATGCTATGGGAACTCAACCTTGACAGCCAGGTCCCCACTCGAGCCTCCCAGAAGCCCGTGAGTACATCGCAGACTCATGCTGCTGCAGTCAGTGGAACTCCTGTGGCAGAGAAGCCTGGCCCTGCTCAGCTCTGTGGGCCTGATTCTGCCTTGGTGGCATTTGCTTTGGTAGGGAGCTTAAAGATCATCCAAGGAAAACCACCGAGAAATCACTAGTATAACCTACTTTTATTAAAAATAAACAAAAATGACAGAGTATATGCACCACAAGCCTGGGTGCATCGGTGTGGGAATAGAAAAGGCGCTGACAGGTATAACCCAGGCTTAGCACTGATTACGTGGAGTGGAGGGGGCTGCTCTCAGGACAGAGAGCCGGGGGTAAACAGAAAGCATAACTATTCCACCAAACCTAAAAGGGGTGGGTCACCACATGGCACAAGGAGCACTTCAGAATTCGGTATCATTTTCTACCATTGCTACAGATACTGATGAACTGTGCGGGGGATAACCAGGAGGTAATGTCGTTGAGCTTTGGTTTGGGGCATCTGGTGTGATTTTAGGGCTCTTTCCACCACAGATTAAAACAGGGTTATCACTAAGCAGCACTGTGTGACATGAAAATCCAGCCATGCATATCAGCCCACTCTGCTCGTGGCTGTGGACCCTTGGGCAGCGCAGGGTCAGCCACCATTGCTTGGCAAACCTGCCCCAGGTAGCCGATCGGATTACCAAGGGCTTGATGAGTGGGTAAAGCAGTAGCTATAACTGCCTGGCTTTTAGAGATGACATTTCACTACCACTTAGAGTAAGTACATGAGAGAAAGGTCTGTCCACATTCTCTTTTCTCAAAATGGATGAACTCTGGGAAGTAAGAACTCAAGGAAGATTGCTGTACATTCTAGAACATTCTCTAGGAGTCACTAAAGGGGGAGACAGAACTTGGTTGAAAGTTTATGATGCCAGAAATAATAGCAACTAATATGCACTATATCATCTAGTTTAATCAACTGTTAAAGACTCAGACCTGTTTAACTTGCCCTAGAACCACAAGAATAGTTTGAAGCAAGCTCTTCTCGACTCAGCCCCACACTCCTACTCGTCCTTCACAGAAGATGGTAGAACTGTGCCACGGGCTCCTTCTCAGTGGGTGCTGCAGCATGCAGTCCCTCATCTAGCAAGATGCTTTCAGAAGCATCCCACAGCGCTGTGCCGTGAACGTCCCCAGCTGAATCTCTAAAA